CCCCCCTCTATCTGGTGATTTCCCATGTTGATTCGCGTCTCCTTTCCTGGCATCGGGTAGGGATAGGATAGATGATCTCCCTGCGTTGATTAGGGTTGATCACCTCTTATCTCTCAAACCCGCTGTCGAGTGCATCGGTCCCGCACGGGGACCCTCCCGGCCGCGTCACGCAGGATTTTGCAGGACTTGTCGCGGAGAGCGTTTGCCGCTCCGGCCGAGTGCGCCAGCTGTACCTCTCCCGAACCCCTACGACAGGACAGGGTCATGCGAGGCACCGCTTACCTCCACCTGCGGGAGCTGTCACCATCCCTTGGGTGGGCGTATCCCCGCCGAGCTACTGAACCACATGCGAAAGCTTTCGTATGCAATTGCAGAGGTGGCCCAGCCGAGGGCGTTTCTCGTTCGCTGTAGCATAGGGGGTTACGTGCGGTCGAACGCCCGAAAATCGAACCCGCACGCGAATCGACGTACTGGGGGGCTGAGGTCCCAAACACGACTCGGCGCCGGTCGACTAGGACGCATCACACACACCACGCGTTACACCACAACACTCACATTTACCCACACATAACACATGGAAAAACACAAAACAAACACAACATCACAACACTCCTAGTCCCTTCAGTATCCTACCCATAACTTCATGCCGCGAGAATCAGGTAGGTACCGCGCGCTGGACTTTCGTATAAGAGTCGTGCGCGCGCATGGCCTCCTCATATCGACCAGCCATGCGGGCATTTGCAAGCATTTGCGCTGATGGGGTACTATGTGATACTCGTAGCCTCGCGACCCTTGATATTCTCGAGGGTCGCGTTCGACACTCAAGTGTCGGCTGACAGGCGCTTTGAGGGGTAATCTCTTGACGCCAGACAACCGCCATGCGCGGTTGAAGACCACACCCTTTTCTGCACCATGTGCAGAGGGGTTGAGTAGACAACTTCAAGGTTGTCGTGGTAGTCGAAATCAAGGGGTTTGACTTTGACGGCTACCATGGACTACAACGTCCAACCATGATAACTTAAAGGAGGAATCAACTGCAGATAGTCTGATAGTCGTCCCAACTGGAAGGGGTAGGCCAACGCGAAAGGGTGCGTACGGGTAAGGCCCAAAATCAGGCCCATAGGCCGCCCGACGTTCGAGAGGTAGGAGACTCGTACGCGGGGCCCCATAGGCTGCTTAGGGATGATTCCCTGCCTACGCGTCGCTTCGCGCGGCCGAAGCTCGGGCCTACTGGCCATAACGTGCTTTTTCTTTCTCCGCTTGACCCATAACTTTAGAGCGTGGAAATGGGTAAGTATTGCGTGTGTGGTTTAGTATAAAGCCGCAGGACCCACGCTTACCGACCAACAATGCGGATTTGCGCATGCAGTCGTGATGTCGGCGCACTATGTGATGCCCATACACGAGTGGCCTCTTTTGAGCCATGGGGTCGCTCTCGATGCTCAGGCATTAGCTGAAGCGCACGCTAAGGGGGTAAACCTTTAGCAAGCGAGAAACCGGCCTGAGGGCCTTACCATCTTCTGCACCCTGAGGTGCCCCAAAGGGTGCGGGGTAAGATGGTCCCTAGGGCAGAAAGGAATTCGGAGCGGTGGTGAGTTGTCTGGCGCATCACCAGCGACACGCTAATCCTTCCGCCCGGAACTTTATCATTCCACCAAGACAATTTAAACGAGAAAAAAAAAGAATAAGGTTTACTTGGTGTTGGCAGGGGAAAATACGAACGCCCCGCCGGACCGAGTTGCTGGGGGACAGCCCCTCCTCCTTGCGGCGCTTCTGTTTCCCCGGGGCAACAAGTAATTTAACGTCCTGGACAAGGACCCTGAACTAAAACCTTTGAGTAAGGGGAAGCGTAAGCGTGCGGTCGCATAGTCCTATAAGGATTACCCGAGCGTACGCTTACTCTGACTATCATATTATCAAGCTGGGAACAGAACAATCTCACTCAAACAAAAGGGTTGTGGGGTAGTTCACTCTCACGACAGTTGTGTGGTTTGCCCATCTGAATTCAAAACATAATCAATCACCACATATTTAATCGAGTTCCTCCTATACATACCTGCAATCATCCGACATTCAAACAACATCACACACACTAAAAGGGTCAACCTATCAGCCTTCTGCGGCTCACACCCTGCCCTATGCCCACAAGTCCAATCATTTCCCCACCCAGCCTCAACAAAAGTACTTAGTCTTTACGAAATGACCATTTATAAAGAAACTGGGTGAAAACCCAAGACAACACATAAATCCTGGCAGGGGCCAAGGCCTTAGGTTGAGAGGCAGGAAAAATTAGAAAGTTGAGTCATAAACCGACGGATCGGCAACCGACCTGATATCAATGATAACAGAAGAGTGATCCTTTCGTAGAATCAGGCCGAACAATTCGAGCCTTCAATCGAATGTGAAAACCTGCATCACAGTACAGGTCAAAAAGAGTCACTACTATGTTCACGCCAAGTGGAGAACATGCTCCAGCTCATAGCCTAACTCCTCTACTAACCTCACTTTCAGCCTCCCTTATTGATACCAACTTACGGAGAATTTCGGCAGCATCTCCCCTACTCAGGGTGGATTGCCAAGTTTCTCATAGCCAGAAATACTCTAACTCCCTAATTTCTACAAAATTCCGGCAGCGCTTCACGTTGGAAAAGTGTCTTTTCAAAATTTATATGGTCCCAAAGTTGACTAACTCTTTCAGATTTGTAGAAATTTCGGCAACGCTTCCCGTAGGAACAGGAGGCGGCCAAGATTTATACAAAGCTGAAAACAGATAGGTCAAGCAAAACTATACTTGGGACTAACCTCTGACACTTGCTTGGTAAGTAGAATCAGCGATAGTCTGCACGACCTCTAGATGAGATTGTGAGATGACACTGATCCTAATTCCTAGCAGGGTCAGTCCTATCCTGCCCCAAGCTTCCCTCCCATCATCCATCTCATCTACCTATAGCTCCAACTCTCGGCGAGCATCGAAAACAACTAACCTATTCAAAAGATGCCCCAATGTGAGAGCCCAAAGCATGCACAAGCAAACATCTCTCGCAATCCCACACCACTTTGAACCAAGTAGTTCGTTAAGTCACTCAGTTCTTTTTCCCTTTTTATGTCCCCCTTTCTTATGGCATATGGTCAGACAAGGCCCTAACCTAAGGGTATGTCTGACCTGCCTAGGTAAACAAGTAAAGTACGCACAACTGGGCTGCCCTAACCTAAGGGTGTGCCCAACATAACATAAACTATATACATAAAGCATATGACCAGACTGCCATAACCTAAGGGTGTGTCTGGCTTCTGCTTAACTGACGATATAAAGCATAAGGGTAGACTGCCCCAACCTAGGAGTGTACCTAGCCAGCTTTAAACAAAGTTACATATGGCATAGGGTTAAACTGCCCCAACCTAGGGGTGTGCTTAACATGCCTAGACAACCACAAATGACAAATGGTTAGACCGCCCTAACCTAAGGGTACGTCCAACCCACAGAACATCAACGACAAGGGCGTATCACTAGGTCGCCCCAACCTAGGGGTACACCTAGTTAGCCTATACAATTTAAGTCACATAAGGCAATGCGACCAGACCGCCCTAACCTAAGGGTACGTCTGGTCTGCCTGAACAAATACAACGACGTATGCCGCCCTAACCTAAGGGTACGCTTAGCTTCCGTAACAATAATTTTAAGCAACCATGAATACTTGCACAAACTCTATGATTTTCTCTCTTCTTAGGCAGATAGTCAGACCTACCCAACCTAGGGAGACATCCAACTCTGCCTTTTGTTTAGAAGGGAAAATAAAAGAAGATTTATACTAACTCTCTGCCCCTTTGTTATCACGAGCATATGAGTGAGCCGCCCTAACCTAATGGTACGCTCAGCATGCCCGAGTTACCTTCATTATACTCTTCATTCATTTCTCTTCTCTTTTTGTTCTACCCGACTTACTGACTGGCTTTCCCAACCTAGGGTGTCCGGTCTGTCAGAAGATATAAATTCAGTAATATATATATCAAATTTTATACTCTGGTTAGTCATTTTGTTCATGGCTTATGACTAAGCCGCCCTAACCTAAGGGTACGCTTAGTTTCATGCCTTTGTTCCCCTCAGAAGAAAACACACCTCAAGCCCATCAAA